ACCTCTGAGGTGGCCACCAAAATTCACAAACGCCAAAATACCATGAGTGGCTTAAAATTTAGCGGAAAGTACTCACACCTGATCAGTGCATAATAAGGTATTTTAGCATTTCTGACAGCAGCATAATTTCAACCGATAAACCGATACTGATTGTGGCAACCTGGTTTGAATGGGCATACTGGCACCTTTGTGGAAACGTGCGGCCAACTGGGCAGATGATGGACCTTGGAATGCCAGTTAACTCCACCGTCCTCCCATGCCCTCTTGCGTTTTTAGAAGATCTGCAGACAAGTTTTGCATGAATATTATAGTAAAGGTTGACTAATGTCTTTTCCAGCGATTTTTTAAAATTTAAATATCTAGACACAGTATATGCAATTGTCCCGTAATAAATATAAATATATAAGTCCTGTATAAATGTTCACATACTCTTGTGGCACATGTTCAAATGTCACTTTTTTGGGATTCGTTACTCTCCTTCCAGTCTCTTGTAAATCGACGTTTTATTGGTTTAGTGCTCCGTTTGTTGAGGGTAAAGGTCAATTGTGATAGTCATTTAGGATAGGATTTATGCCAGGCGGAGTGTATGAAATAATTTGCGTAAATCGGCCTGCGCCGTCAGATTGTGCTAAAAAACTGGGTCGGTGGAGGCCTGAATATCTCGCGGTGTTCAACAATGAATATGAGACTTCATCAATTTTGACAGTTTCCAGTTTGTTGCTGTTTAAAAAAAAAGTGTTGTAAAAATGAGTGAAATTTAGGGGTGGCATGAGCGGAAGATCCTTATTTGGCTACAAGAATTGAAAGCAGGGATCGTAAAGAAAAAACAGAAAACAGATAATAGTGTAACTAAATGCTGTTCTATTGACAACAGACTTATGGCGAAGATCCGCTGGAATATCAAGACTCGAAAGAATAAGGAATGAACAACCAAGAAATCATGAACGCAGACATAACAATAATCGATGAAATACAAAGGAAACACTACTTACGAGACTTCTAGATCCCTCCTATCAGTTAAGCTCTGAAGAAGACAACAGGATGATTGGGGAAGCAGTTTCAATTAAGCTCTGAAGAAGCCAACAGGATGATTGGCGAAACCAGAAGTTGCGTAAATAGTATCACCGTAGCCTGTAGAAGTTTCTGAACGTAACCTGCAATCAGGATACTGGGAAAATCGAAGAGGATGGAAGCTAGGAATCGTAGGCCTAAGAATAAATTTTAGTAAGGCAATCTGCAGTTATTCAATTAAATATGATGGCGAAATTTAGTTTAGCTAATAAATCGAGCACCAGTAAAATACATTTGGACAATTAACCAAAATTCGTGCCAGTAACAATATTTTTATTTGTGTATAATTAACTGGTATTATGCAGGAAACAGTCTTAGAGCAGTGTCTAGAATGTTTTAAGTTTATTTTCCAGCTGAAGATGTCGATAATAAAGTGAAATAAAAGGGCAATAGAGAAAACAAAGTCATTAGTACCAAAATTCTTGGTCAAGCTGTAAATAAACACAAAACACAAAAAAAGAAAGAAGAGTAGCATTATGTTTTGAAATGATGGAAAAAACCAAATAATGGTAGGGATTTTTAAAAAAATATTTGTTTCACTGACTTAACCAGTTACGTAACGCCATTTTCTTAAAATGTGAACATTTACTTAAAAAATTATTTTTCTTTTAAATAATGTTTCTTTTTAGCAATGTTTTGTAGCCGTATTTTATTATAATTATTAATTATTTTTAATAAAAACTTGAGGGCCAAATTTATCGGCGTTGCTTGTTACTTAAAGAGCCCTTTAAAAGAAATTCATTAAGAACGCTTTAAGGGACAAGGAGGTCTTAAGGATCGAGTATGTGTTTAAGAAAAACATAATGATATACCTACATTCCTAGTATATTTTCAATATGTGAAACCAAACGTGCATGTCTTATTTCTAAAGCAACCTTTAGCTGATATGTCCCATTGTCCTGCTTGACGTCATTAAATTTAGGAAATAGCGTCATGGAACATATTCGCCATTGTTTTGTTGTATTAAGATTTTGCAATTTTGCCATCATATTTAATTCAATAACTGAAGATTTGTTTATTAAAATTTATTCAAACTCGGCACATGAATTTATCAAGTTATTAACTTTGCTATAAAATGTATAGCGGAGCCAATATTTGGGCCGTTAGGCAATGCATCACCCGGTATATAAACTTGCGTGCGTGGAAATCGGCTAACTGTAAATTTTTGACTTTATTATGTTTTTTTTTCTAGAAACTATTCATCTCACTCAAAAAAATTGCTATTTGGAAGACAATTATTACGAGTTTAAACTTGTTAAGAGTGCTGATCTTTTATATGCGTAGCTACGGATAAACAAATGAAACGTGTTATTGTGTCAACAAAAACAAAAAGTGCAAAAACAGCTCCATAAAGTTCGAAGAGTAGCTATTAGTTAGTGGACAATGAGAAGAAGACTGAAGGAAAATAACCGGACCCGAAAAACACCAGCAATTGGTCCAAAACTTACTTCAGCTCATCGACAAGGTACAAGGTAGTGACCGACGAAAAAAAAGATTGGCTTAACATTCCGCAAGAAACAATACAGAACTTTAGATCTAAGCCTAATCGAGTAAGAGATATTATTAGGCTAAGAGGGGGTCATATCCGCTATTAAAAAATAATTGTTGAGTTGCTAATTGTCAATAACCATTTGTTTTTAGTAATAAAAAAAAGTTAATTTGACGCGTGCAATTATTTTACTATGCTGAACCTAAAAAACAGAAATAAATGTTGAATAATTTAAAGTCGTTTTAAAGTACATCTACCATGATTGTCTTGGGGAAGTATTTAGCCAGGTAATTTTCCCTTACTTTCCTAGCTTTTATCCCAGCCACGGAACCTTCTTAGCTTCACCTTCATCACTTCGAGACCTTACCGTCATCGCTCCCTGGATAAAAGCTACTGAGCCCCTTCACCACGACAAGGTGATGATTCCCCTCGAAGAACAAGAAATGGGATCATACACGGGAGATCAAATACCGTATAAGAAAGGCCAGAACCGTTTTTAACCACATCAGAAAAGTCCTATATAACATGCACCTGAATATACTATAAGAACATGGGTCCTAAGATGTTATGGACGTTAACAGATGCAACATTTAAGCGCTTGGACGCCTTTGAAATATGGTGCTATTGCCGCATGATCAGGATCTGCCATCCAGCCTAACGCAAAAGCAACTGCAAGTCACACATAATGTGAAAGTGACGAAGATGGCGTACCTTGGACATGTGACGCGTAATGGAAATATTAATTTATCCAACTAATCTTGCATTTATTCGGGGCAGCTGTCAACAAGAATGTATGGACCAACAACAGAAGAAGAAGAAGATTAAAGCATATTAAATTGTCTTTCAAAGAGTTTTTTTTTTATGTGTTAGGTGTCCTAAATTGGCAGATATCAACTTCAAATTTAGCAGCGAAGTAAAAGTCCGTGTCCACATTTAAACGGTAGAATTTGGGCGCAATCCAATTTTACCAAGTATTTAAAAAAAAAAAGAAATTTTTTTTTGGTAATTTTAGCTTCCAGAAAAATATGTTTTCCTCCATAATCGTTCATCCGATTGGCAAAATTCTTTAACCGGCAGACGCAGAAGATCCAGTGCAATAACATTTATTTCAGTCATTTTTTCGATTATATACAGGGTTTTGAAATTATACGCAAAAATCTAAAAGACCTAGAAATTGTTTTTTTGCAGAGTAAATTATTAGCCGCAATTCAAAAATCGTAAAAAATATGGCTAATTGGTCAAACGGTGTCGCATCAAAGCCTACAATGTTTGTATTTGCAATTTTCGTCTATCACATACGCTGCTCGCGATATTTGAAAAAATCCATATTGAAATCGTTATTTCGGGCACTGTCAAGACGCGATAATATCATTGATTATTACGGCGCACTGCATGGTTCCAGAAAAAACTTATTTTCGCGAAAACCATTTACTATTTTCAAAAAATTCTTGAACCAGGAAGCGCGGAAAATCCAGGGCTATAACGTCTACTTCGAACAATGATTGTATCATTTTTATGGGTAAATTACTGGCGATAAATGAAAAACCGTTAAAGATGGGATAATTTTATTTGAACAGTATCGTAAAGCGTGTCGTGAGAGAGTTTCAGGTTTCGTCAATTATACGGGGCGCGAGATATTTGAAAAAATATCATTCGACAACGCTATTATTTGTGCAAATTTTAACATTTGCCGATGTTTGAAGTTTTTTTTGAAGTTCGACGAGATGTGAAGGACATTTTATACAGGGTGCATATACAATTAAATTACATCGATTCTCCGAAAGTTCCATAGTAGTCCGCAGGAGCACGATAGAAAAACAAAGTGTCTCTTTACCACACGAAACCGCGAAGTTCTTTTCTTTTATAATAAAAAGCTGTTTCGCGCTACGCGCTACGAACTTACCCCGCCCAGTTTCGAAAGCAATCTTGTTAAATTAGTAACCATTTTTAAGTAATTAGTACGCTCTGATCGCAAGGTCCACCAAAACATATTTGTGAATCAAAAATCATGTCAAAATGTCAATAACCCTATTTGTTTTCAGTAATAACAAAAGTTAATTTTACAATGCCAAACCAAAAAAACAGAAATAAATTGTAATCAATTTAAACTCGTATATAAACAGATTTTTTTTTAGTTTAGTTTAGTTTTAGTTTTTTAAGTTAACAATGGGCGGATTTCTATGCACTCAAGTTTATATATAGAAGCGAAAGATCAAAGTTTCGGGTGTCGGGTGTTTGTGCGGGAAAAAAAGTGCAAAGCGGCAACGTGGAAGCGATCCGCACCGAGCGTACGCACCGGCGGGCTACCCTCGCGCGCAGCGCACCAGCGGGACGACTCCCACCCCGCGACCACCCCCGTGCCTCCTCTGCGTCTCGCACCCCCTCCGCGTGGCGGTAACCGCGAACGGCGCGCTTTTTCAGAAACATTTCGGACGTTTTGACGAAAAGCGAGAGAGGAGAGCGCGGCGGCGGGTGCGTGAGGAAAACATTTTTCGGTCGTATGCGTACAGTGCATGCGACCGTGAGCTGCGGATAGTGCGTTCAGTTAGTCCGCGCAACCGAAACCCATTACTTTGGCTAATGGACTTGGCCGATTTTTTGTTGACGCGTGCGGAATTGTGCGAATGGATTGTAATCGCGTAATTGGAAAAAGTTTGCGAAAAATTTTAACCGTAAGTGATTTTGGGCGCAAAAAACGCCCTTATAGCGTTTCCGCATTAAGAATGTTTTTTAATATTGACGAATTCAATTGTAACTTTTACTGCGAATCGATGTTAAAGCTTAATTTCGATTTTTTTAAATTGTGAAATTTACGACGTTGCGGCTTTTAAATAATTCAGTTCGTGCGTATCGAAAGTGCAAAAATTTATATTTTTCAGGCAGTGAATGCCAATATTTTTTTGTTGATTTTGCATTTTTTAATTTTTATACTTTTAATTTTCTTAAAATATTTCTTCTTGCGGAAAATTCTTGCGCCCATGCGAATTTTCGTCCATTTAGTTCCCAAAATGTAAGAGGAAAATGGTGACGGCACAGTGCAATCAATTTATTGAGGGCACCGCCGCTCACTGGCTAGTATTTATCAATTTGTTTATCTTGAAAATATGCTAAATGTATGTACAATCGGGGAGTAATGTAAATAAAAATTTCTAATTCTATAAATTCATTAAAAATGTAACCAATATAATCACACACTTAATAAATTTAAAATTTTTTTCAACACTAAATAATCGGTACGTTTTTAATTCGCAACTTTTTGCACAACCGCTAAAATGCTTCATAAAAATTTTAACCGTAAGTGATTTTGGGCGCAAAAAACGCCCTTTTAGCGTTTCCGCATTAAGAATGTTTTTTAATATTGACGAATTTAATTGTAACTTTTACAGCGAAACGATGTTAAAGTTTCGAATGACATTTGCGCTGCCAATTTGACAACTTTTCTAGGCGGTGCAAAATTTTTGTTTTTGGCCCTTAATTTCCATTTTTTAAATTATGAAATCTACGACCTTGCGGCTATTAAATAATTCAGTTCCTACGTATCGAAAGTGCAAAAATTTATAATTTTCAAGCAGTGAATGCCAATATTTTTTTGTTGATTTTGCATTTTTTAGGTCTTATACTTTTAATTTTCTTAAAATATTTCTCCTTGCGGAAAATTCTTGCGCCCATGCGAATTTTTGTCCATTTAGTTCTCAAAATGGTGACGGCACAGTGCAATCAATTTATTGAGGGCACCGCCGCTCACTGGCTAGTATTTATCAATTTGTTTATCTTGAAAATATGCTAAATGTATGTACAATCGGGGAGTAATGTAAATAAACATTTCTAATTCTATAAATTCATTAAAAATGTAACCAATATAATCACACACTTAATAAATTTAAATTTTTTATCAACACTAAATAATCGGTATATTTTTAATTCGCAACTTTTTGCACAACCGCTAAAATGTTTCATACAAATTTTAACCGCAAGTGATTTTGGGCTCAAAAAACGCCCTGTCTTAAGAATGTTTTTTAATTTTGACGAATTGGAACTTTTACTGCGAAACGATGTTAAAGCTTCGAATGAGATTTGCGCTGCCAATTTGACAACTTTTCTAGGCGGTGCAAAATTTTTGTTTTTGGCCCTTAATTTACATTTTTTTAAATGATGAAATTTACGACGTTGCGGCTATTAAATAATTCAGTTCATACGTATCGAAAGTGCAAAAATTTATCATTTTCACGCAGTGAATGCCAATATTTTTTCTTGATTTTGCATTTTTTTTAGTTTTAGACTTTTAATTTTCTTAAAATATTTCTTCTCATTTACTTCCCAAAATGTAAGAGGAAAATAGTGACCGCACAGTGCAATCAATTTATTGAGGGCACCGCCGCTCACTGGCTAGTATTTATCAATTAGAGTAATGTAAATAAAAAATTTTACTTCTATAAATTCATTAAAACTAACCAATATACTCATATTATTAAAATTTCTATTCGATATTTTTCATATTAATACTTAATATATTAATAAATTTATTTTTTTTTTTAATTTTGCACAAGCATTAAAATCTTTCATAAAAATTTTTAACCGTAAATGATTTTAGGCTCAAAAAACGCCCTTTTGACGTTTCCGCACTAAGAAGGTTTTAATTTTTACGAATTTAATTATAAAATTTGCTGCGAAAAGATATTAAAGCTTCGAATGACATTTGGGCTGCGCCTTTATAATATCAATTTGACAACCTTTCTCGGCGGTGCAAAATTTTTGTTTTTGGCGCTTAATTTCCTTAATTTCCCTTTACGACGTTGCGGCTATTAAAAAATTCAGTTCATGCGAAAGTGCAATTTTTTTTTTATTTATAATGTCTAATTTTCACGCAATGAATGCCAATACTTTTTTTCTTGATTTTGCATTTTTTAAAGTTTTAGACTTTTAAGTTTCTTAAAATATTCCTCCATTTGGAAAATTCTTACGCCCATGCGAATTTTCGTTCATTTAGTTTCGATATTTTCATAGTAAATTTGAATTTTTTATCAACACTAAATAATCGGTATATTTTTAATTCTCAACTTTTTGCACGAGCACTAAAATCTTTCATAAAAATTTTAACCGTAAGCAATTTTAGGCGCAAAAAAACGTCCTTTTGGGGTTTCCGTATTAAGAATTTTTTTTAATTTTGAATTTAATTATAACTTTTGCTGGGAAACGATGTTAAAGCTTCGAATGACAGTTATACTGCCAATTTTGCAATTTTTCTTGGCGGTACAAATTTTTTTTTTTTGGTGCTTAATTTCGATTTTTTTAAATTGTCAAATTTACGACGTTGCGGCTATTACAAAATTTAATTCGTACGTTTCGAAAGTGCAAAAATTTATATATGTATAATTGCCAACGAATGCCAATATTTTTTGTTGATTTTTCATATTTTACAGTTTTAGACTTAATTTTCTTAAAATATTTCTCCTTGGGGAAAATTGTTGCGCCCATGTGAATTTTCGTCCATTTAGTTCCCAAAATGTAAGAGGAAATTGGCGACCACAGTGCAATCAATTTATTGAGGGCACTGTCGCCCACTGGATAGTATTTATTAATTTGTTTATCTTGAATATATGCTAAATGTACGTACAATCACATTATTCAAATTTCTATTCGATATTTTTCATATTAATACTTAATAAATTTAAATTTTTTATCAACACTAAATAATCGATATATGTTTAGCGACAAAATCTTTCACAAAAAACAATTAATGACTTTCGGTACCATTTAGCAAAAAGATCATATTAAAGTTAAATGTAAATGTTAAATGTGAAATGTAAATTTTCACACTCCAAATGCTAGGCACGGGCATGGGTTCCAGTTAGATTAAGTCAGTGGGTAGATTTCTCTTCACAGAAAAAGTAAATGTTTATTATTTCAAACATAACGAATGAATATACTTTAATCTTTTAGGTATTTAATTAAAGTTGATTTCTTGATTCTAAAATTATACTCGAAAAACTATAAAAACCAAGAAAATGTGTAGAATTAATGAATAAAAAACTATTAAAAAATTGAGAAATGAAACGTTTGTACACAGGTACCTTTTCACGCGAAACAAAACGGGCGAAAAACGTGAAACAAAAAACCGCCACCCTCGCCTATGAAACATACTTTCATGCATGTACACCCTCAATATCCACCCCTCCCGTAACAATGAAACATGTCGATAAAATCATCCGACCGCGAATTTTTGTTTTGTTCGACGCTAACAAAAAAGAAGACACAGGTAAACCGACGAATAGTGATAATAAACAAGGGTTGTAAAATATCTTGTGCAGTCTACGCGGGGCGGGAGGGACGAGCCGATTTGGCCCGTTGGAAGGGGCATCCTTTTACGGGACACTTTTTAAGGGTTGCTTATAAATTCATATAGCGAAATAGGGATCATAGTACAGAAACTAGTCGTAGAGCTATCGCCAACAAGTTTGGGTCGTGTTTTAGTATTACGGGGTGCGAATTTTTACGTTTAGTTTCGGTCGTTTGGCGTTTTTTTTTTTGCTCGACATTTCTAAAAGGACAAGTCAATGGTGCAAATTTGTTATCGATACCGTAAGTAGTTTTTAAACATTCGACCAGTTCACGCTATAATAATGGACATTTCCCATTTCGCATTAAAAAAAATAACTCGAGTTTTTATTATTTTTTTGGCAAATAATGGTTTTTGTTATATAACTAGAATAATTTATTATTTTTAAAATCTTTATTATTTTTTTCCAATTTTATTTTTAATTGGTTAGTTTTTATTTTAAAATATTTTACTATTTTTTCGGATTCAAAAATAATTTCGTTCAGTTTTGAAGGTTATAGAAAAACGTTCTCTATTTGAATGGACTGTCAAAGAAGTCGCAAAATCTACCAAAATTTCATACAATTTCTTATTAATTATAAATTACGAATTAACCCGTTGAATTAGTAGAATCGACAAATTATACTGACTGAACTTATTTCTTCTGATTTGATTGCCCTTGATTAAAACATTTAAAAAATGATATCTGTGTTTTTTTTTTTCATTTTCATTTTCATTAAAATTCATTTTATTGATTAAAATTAAAAAAAAAACTGTTTTAATAACATGAGATTTAGAACGATCTATTGCTTGATTGCTTACAAATAATAGGTGTCGATTTAATTGACAAAATTGATAAAATATAGCATTAAAAAAAACACCTATGTGCGAGTTAACAGCAATTTTTTTTGGACAACCGGTAGGGGAAGCGGAGTGAGAAACGGAGAGGGTTCCGCAATAATGAAATAAACTAGGCGAAAGTGTGCGTGATAACTGTTTATATTTACCTTTAGGGTTGCGTATTTGGGGCGTTTTAGAATTCGGTAGAGTTTTATCTGATGGTTGTGGAAATTGTATTTCTTGCGTATGACACAGAAAGCAAAGGCGTTTTTTGCGAAGCCCTTTCGTTCTGTTATTTAATTCCATTGAACTATTTAAAGTTGTCGGTTTTTAAAAACTTTATATATATGCAGAACTTATTTCCATCCGTTTTGGTTCCTTTCTATAGTTCCGCATTTTACTTTTTCCATGTTTTTAATTAAATATATTTTTGTTTATTTATTTATTTCTTTGTTTATTTATAAATAAGTCTTTTCCACAGACAGACGCATCGGTCCAATAAAAGAAAAGCACAAAATGTTATCGGTGGACTAGTTTATTTTTTACCAGCTCAATCTACTTAAGAACTAATTACCGCTTTTTATTACAGTATAGCGTCTTAAATGTCGTCAAAGGCTTCAAAGCTCAGAGCAAATAGGTCAAGATCCAGAAACACGTTCTCTACCCTGTAATAAGTACGGGTAGAGTCTGTTCATAGATATAAGAAAGTGACTAACTGATACGAATTAAGGAAAGACCCGGGCAAACTGTAAGCCCGTACTTTGCTTAGAATTTAATTATTTGGGGTTTTGTTAGGAAAGATACTAAACAATATTTATTTATTTATGTATGTATTTATGTTTAAATCTAAAATAAAATTACAAAATTATTTTTATTACCTACTTAAAATACTGAAAACTATTCACATAATATATCAGTATCACTATCGCTATCATCTCCTGTTCTAATTATTATTTGTTCTATATTATTTGCAATATGTTTAACAGAATTGGAGTTAACACAGGGAAAAACATTATTATGACGAGTGGCAGATTTCAGTTGGTACCAAACATGTTCAATGGGAATAAATATACAGTGGTAAGATTGTTTGCATAATTATCACAGACGTGTTTCTTTTGTAGGTTCAAGCTTTGTAGAACCTAAATTAATTGCTTTTTGGTATAATCTTCGTGAATATAGATGTTATTATACATGAAGTTTTGGATTGTTGCTTTTGTGTCACATGAGGATGGGGTTTTAGTCAACTGTCTACTATGATAACTTGCATTGTCAATTACAATTACGCTATTAGGAGGAATGTTTGGAACTAGTTTGTTTTTTAAACTAACTTTCAAATAAATCAGCGGTGGTGTCTTCATGGTAATCCAGAGAAGAATCTTTAATATTTTTCGCAGACAGAGAAAGTCCATTTGTAATCCAACCATCTTTAGAGCCAGCATGCAAAATAGTTATTCTTTTACCTCTTTTTGATTGCGCGTTTGTTTTACACTTATCAGTTGAGTCAACCCAACCCTTTTCAGGGGTATCATAAGTATCGAACCAGATTTCATATAAGTAAATAATTGGCCTTTGTTGTTCTCTGTAAATCCTAATTTTTTCTAGATATTCCAGTCGCCATTTCCGAATTCTAAAAGATTCCATTACTTGCCTTTTGTCAATTTTTTTAAATCTAAAACCCATGTGTTGAGTACACTTCCATAAGGTAGTTGTGCCACATTTAACAATGGTTTCATCTTTTTCAAGCCTCCTAATTAAGATATCTAATGTAGGCACGCTTTGTTCCTCGTATAACTGGTAAATTTTACGCCGTATCATATCTTGATGACTTTCATCTACACTCGAGAAAATATCAGCATCGCTTCTTTTTTTACTCGCTGAAATGGGATTATTGACAATTTTCCATACAGTTGATATTGGAATTTTCGTCAATGTGACCGTTTCTTCTAAAGATGCTTGCTTGCTGGGACCACGTTCAATGAGAGTCAAATAAACATTGTTTATAACTTCCTTAGTCTCAATAGAATAGTGTTTTCTACATTTGGGCAGAAGCATCTCCTGAGATACACTAGACTCGCACATATTTTGCATAATTCGCACACGATTCAACACACGCTGTATTAGACACGAAATAAGAATGATTACTAATAAACTTAAACTAAGTAGTACACCAAACCAAAGAATATTAAACACAGGTAGGTATAAAATTATTTTCTATTACAATTTGCGTTACCTATTTGCCACATTTTTTCGGACACGTCTTGTTTAAAATGCTGTCAATAAAAAACTATTTGACACAAGACTTCTTTTTTTTTTCGCAGCCTACTTAGATATATATTTAAAAGAAGACAAAGTTTTATTGCGATACTGGAGTTGCATCTATGTCAGGCCGGGAAATTTTGGCGCTAACCTCGTATAAAGGGCAAAAAATAATTAAATTAAATTTGAAAAAGGTTGTGCAATTCGACACCAAACAATATGCGGTTTAGAAATGTAAGAAATTCTTAGCGGTTAAGGGGAAAACAAATTTTCGAAAATCATTTTTCCTGTATTAGTGTAATTTTTCATTTCAAAATTGCACGACTACAATTTCAACTTTAGCCAATCAATGTTTTTTTTTGCTCAATATCGTTTCTATGTAACAACGTGTTCGGCGAAACATTCCAAAAAATAAAAAGAAAAAATATGTAAAATTGAAATCATCAATTTTATTATTGTTGTTATGTTGTTATTGTCCGGCTGTTGCGGACATCATCTCGTCCGAACACTGCCCCCCATAATCAATGAGATCCTAACCAAAACTATAGGTTATGCTTAATTTAGCTTCTTTAATTCTTAACTTAATTTTAATTTAATATTCTCGCGATTGTCATAGAAGAAACGTGGAAACAAATATTATTTGCGGCGTAAATTAATAAAGAATTTGAACTTTGTGCAAAAATCGGCGATAAGGAAATGTTTGCCCATACCGTTTCCTCTACGGTCTCTTTTCGTGGTTTTCGAATCTAGATAAAGAAGGTCTCGGCTGTTTCTACAGAAAAATATTTACTCGCAGATAGACCCGAAAACAGATTAGTGTAGCAAATAATTTGACAAACATGGCTGGTCTTATCTGTCGCGTCCGAAATTCCCTCGTCCCTAATGTGCGGGAAAATCGCTTTTTAATAACATAATTTTTTTCGAATTTACTCGGCCGAAAGACGCAGTAGATAGTTGCAAAAACAATTCCGTGGAACTATTAAAATGCAACGAAAGGTGACAAAATTATATTGCTTCGTCGATATTACAAAGAAAAAAACAGGTTGTGTTAGCATTTACTGCGGTTGGTAAGAAATGACCGATTGGCATCGCATTTTGAAAACATAAAACTGAGAACTCTTTGTATCGACAGAAGAAAGTTAATTTATCTTTTTATCTCGATCGAATCAGTCGATACTAATCAATTTGTTTCGCGATTCAGAAGAAAAGGAGTATCGGCCGTGAAAGTTTGATTGTTTTAAAATTTAATCATATTAAGCAAAACTAATAATAAATGAACACAAAAACGTACCGATAGTAAATAAGTATCCCTTAAACCCTTAAAATCAATTAAAAAAATTACATAAGAAGAACATGTGGTTTTATTGCAATTTTATTTATTAAAACTTTTTAGTAAAATGGAAAATTTATAAAAGGTTCTATGTGAACTTCCGTTTAATGCTTTTCAAGCGAAAACAGCAATACTTAACTTCAGAGCTTATCTGAAACCGTTTCGATGCAATAACAACCAAGTTTCAGTTAAGCTCTGAAGAAGCCAACAGGATGATTCTCGAAACGTCCTCAACTTTGATTCAAAAAATTACCGACGCAGGACGAGTCCAGAAGTTTTGTAAATAGTATTGGAAAATTAATTTTCTTTGTGGAATTAAAGATATTACTGATTAAATACGCATTATTCAAAGAGGACCAATGAGATATCCTTCGATTTTGATAGAAACCAGAAAATATTTGTTCATTTATTTGTTGTATGACAGATAAACTATTTTTTTTAATGTTTGTTGATTGCCTTTAATTTAATTGTAATCTCTTATATATCCTGCTGGAATACATCAATAAATATTTCCACAACTTTGGAAATTAAATCGCGAGTTTAAGGTAAATGCATTTAAAAAAAACAGAGACCTACTTCATTTCGATTGCATTCCTCAATTACGTTAATCAAAAATTAGATGTTAAATTTACTTCTACTGCTCTGTGGTGATAATAGTTGTCATAGTAGAAGAGATGATACAAATTTATGGTTTTTTTTTTTGTCAATAGCTGAGAAAAAATAATCTGTAATAATGTCAAAATTTGCATGTATGTACCTCAAAAGTTCATCATTCATGATTTATAAAACTCAAAATACAAAGTTTATTTCTAAATAAAGCACGAACAGGGCAAAACATAGCTAAATAAAGAAAATATAGACAAAAATCGCAAACTCTTTTTCTGCTTCAGAAGATTTCTCAGACATTCGACCATCCTGTCCTTGTATCATCCTTGAAGTGTCTATCGCAGAACATGCATACATCATCTTAATGTTCTGATTCATCAGTTTTTTTTTATTCGAATTACCATGAGTTGGCATAAGGGCTGGCCCATATTCAGATCCACAATCCAAACAGTCAAGATCTAACAAAATTAAAAGTTAAAATTTCACAGACATAAAATTCTAGCAGTAGGTCAAACGTTAACCGACATTTTGGGGTGGTGAGTGTATAGCACACTCCCAGTCAGTAATATACATTTAAGATACATTCAAAGGATAGGGTCACTGGCATGGAAAAGCCCAAGGTGACCTGGATTAACAGCAATGCCCACATTGGGATCCATTTCTCAAATAGCAAATAGACAGAACTTTTAATACACATTGTTAATGAAACACTCACACAAAAACAACAACAACAACTGAAATTTTAAAATATTTATATAAATACCGAAGCCAAAAATTTTAAAAATGTCTTTTAAAAATGGCATTCTCTTATTTAACTATTCTTTCCAGGTATAACTGATCAGGCTTAACCAACCATGACTACGTCGCAGCAACAGTATTGTCTCCGATGGAACAACCACCGTTCGAATTTGTTGACCGTTTTCGATGAACTGCTTCAAAGCGAATCGTTCACGGACGTTACTCTAGCGTGCGAAGGTGGCAGCCCTATAAAATGTCATAGGATGGTCCTCGCGGCTTGCTCACCGTATTTTCAAAATATTTTTACCGATCTGCCCTGTCACCATCCCGTCGTGGTGTTGAAAGATGTCAAGTATAGCGAAATCAAGGCTATTTTGGAGTACATGTACCGAGGAGAAGTAAACGTCGCTCAAGATCAGTTGGCAGCGCTGTTGAAAGTAGCAGAGGCATTAAAAGTCAAGGGATTGGTGGAAGAGAATAGGTAAAAAAATAAATCTCCACTGTTATACATTGACCTACATATTCGCCTAATTTTACAATAGAAAAAGATGAATAGTGATTTGAATACTTGTCTTTGTCATGCTCATTTACAATATTCAAATGGTGTTTTGCGCTAATTATTTGAATTAAATTAATAAATAATAATTAAATATGTATATAACAAAATCACATCATATAACATTATGGTAATATTCAATAGGTTGCTATACTGCAAGCATATACAATAAAATCATTAATCGATACTCAGATTCTTCAGAGCTACATATTTGACAGTAAAGTGACCTTTTTGGTCAACTGGAAGACATTGCTAACAAGGGAATAAGAAGTAATACTTTTTTCCCCGTAGTAGTACACTGCTCTTAGCTTTTATTGCATCTCATGTATAGGTAGTGTGGTCTACACGTTACACTATATGTCACATTGATACAATAAAAACTGTTGAAAGGGCATTTCTCAGATCACATTAATGATTATGATAGATGATCTGGACATTAGAAGAACCTACTAAAATATCTTGACGTTTTATAAAATTCTGATCGGTCTATATAACTGGTTTTAACATAATCGATGACGTCAGAACGCCTCAATGTTTTATATTCCATTTCATCAAATCAGTCATAGCATTTTTTCTCCTTTAACTCAAACCTTGAGATTATTAACAACCATTTAAGACAAAATGAAAAGAAGTGGTTGATTGTAAGTAACTGGTGTGATACTGCTTTTTACGGTTTTCTTTTTTGTTTTTATATTTTTTATATGTTTATTTATAAAAGATTTTTACCTAAGTTGGTGTTGCGCCATGTTGCTATTTTTATTTATATTTATGTTGTATCTCTTTTTGTATAATTGGCTCAGCCGTTGAAATAAATAAGTAACTGAAAATTTACCATTTAAAAAAATTGTTTAATAATTAAAGCAGAATGAAATTATCAGTCGCTGTATTGTGATACATACACTATATCAAGAAGAATAAACGAATGAAATAGTCTCTAGATTTAGCCTCAAGAACCCAAACAGTAGTATTAACGAGTATGACAGAGATTCTCTGATTTTTTTTATTTGGTTTTGTTATTTTTCCTTATGCTTCAATTTTCTGGATTTGCAGGTCCTGCAAAAGTCCGCCCCCCAGGGAAGAACCCGTGTTAGACAACTCCCCGTCGATCTCCACTTCAACACCAACCATCCAGAATCCCGTCCACAGCAGCAGCAACTCACCGCCACACTCCACCCCAAATATTCTGTATAAAAACCCTTACCACCTGTACGAAAGGAAACCTCCTGAGCATAACCCCAGAATGCCGAACCTGCCGATGTGGGCGGTACCCGGATTACCTCTTCCTCCCCACACGGCGTCGGTACCCAGTCAAAGCCACCCCCACGCGGCGGCTACGGCTGCCGCCGCAATGCTAAGCAGCGCTTACGAGGGTGTCAGCTCTGATATGTCGCCTCTGAAGAGGAAAAAGCTGAGCAGTTTGTTGATGCAGAGGGACACGCCTATTTTGCGGACCGTATTAGGTCAAGGTCAAGCAGATTCTTCGCAGCCCGTTAGTTTGGTGTGTCAAAGCGACAGCGGGGATCAACATTCGGGAGGCGAAGACATGATGACCAAGGTAGGCATCTATTAAAACTCTTACTTGCGCTACGCCGTTATGGAAAAGTTTACTGAATTAAAATAAAAGTTTTCGCACTCTCTGTCGGAACTTTGATGTGTCTGTCACCATGTGCGGTAGTTCGTTTTTCTACGGGGTTACGAGGGATCTCTGTATGTTTTTTTCTATCTATATACGCGTTGGTCTCGAAAAGTATGCTATAAATAACTAATACGACGCCCTTAATAAAGTTATTTTTATTAAATATTTAAAATATATTTTCATGAGATTTAATGAATCATGCTTTACCGCAAAGTTTACTAACTTCTTTAAAAAAGAAGGTATCAAAAAAAATTAACCAATAAAAAGAACAAGGCTTAAAGGGTTTGACAATAAAAAAAATCTATTCTTATCAGTAAATTGTAGTAGAAGTTTTTACAAAACTTTTGGATTCCTCGTGCGTCGGTTTTTGTTGTGTCGAACTGGCTAACGTTTCGCCAATCATCCTGTTGGCTTCTTCAGAGCTTGACTGAAACTGGCTCGCATTTTACTCTGTACCTGCTTATATATTGTTTGAGGGGGGCGGGCATAAACACTGTCTCTGATGACTGATTCCTATATTGGTGACAGGTAAAGACCTGAGTCGCGGTTAAGATTATTAGGTTGCCTATAAATTTCTATAGATTCTCGGATTTTTCGTTGGTAAAAGAATTTTAGTTTTATCGAATAAAATTTTACGTCCAATTTCGTGATTGTTCTTTGCGCCTAGTTGATATTTTTCGTCCGGTCTCTCCAATCCAATCTTAACCGCGACTCAGGTCTTTTCGTGTCACCAATATGGGAATCAGTCATCCGAGACGGTGTTTATGCTCCTCATTTAGCTCCGCCCTCCTCAAACAATATATAGGCAGGCACAGAGTAAAATGCGAGCCAGTTTCAGTCAAGCTCTGAAGAAGCCAACAGGATGATTGGCGAAACGTTAGCTAGTTCGACTCAACAAAAACCGACGCAAGAGGGATCCAGAAGTTTTATAAAAAGTATTACAAGTAGCCTGTAGAAGTTTCTGTGAAAAATTACATAGTAGTAAAGCATGATTAATAGTGGAAACCTTATCATTTTGACGTTGTCAATATTAATCTTGGAAGTGAATAAACAGAGCCATAAACAAATGAACAATTATAGCTATCTATTCGATTTGAACATTCTGACTGGCATCCGACGCTTGCAACCATAACTTCAGTTTCTTCTAAAACATATACTGTAGCAACTGTTAAATCCGGAAGTGTAATTAAACACGAAACCGAACAATTTACTCTTCAAATGAAGTGGGTACAAATGTCAAAAAAACGTAAAATAACATTTCACGCCTATCAACACTCGCCGACGGCCATCTTCTCGTCTCCGACTAGCCCATTCTTGTTACTTTTTTTTGGTACCCTGTGGCTCACTCTAGCGGGACCGTACGTATCTACTACAATGAGGCGCTCTGGTCGACGGCTAATTCGTGTATTGGCGGATAGATGGTGGTGACGGTGATCATTTGTTACAATACATATATTTATTACATAAATGTACTAGTCGGTAAGTAAATTCCACCGTTTGTTAATTTCCCAGTAGAATCTTGCCATGGAGAGTGAACTTGGCACCTAATTTCAAAGAAGGAATTGCAAATTTCTGAAGACGATTTCGAGCTTCATTTTCAATGCTGCCATCACTAAAATGTAAACTGCAAGTTCTTATTGGACTATGACTTTGTTCTAACGTTATATTAGCGTATCCAAAGAGTATGAGACAGAGGGGAAGGCTTCCATTAGTGGCAATGTTAAAAAGAGTACACGAGTTTCAACGCCTGTAGTGATTGTGTTCAGTCATGAAAACGGAAAACGCGCGGGGCATACGGTTCAATTCAATTTGAAGTTTCAAAGGTAAAATGTAAATCAAGTGGTATTATCCGTTACAAGCTGTAGTTATTTCAGCTGTAGTATTTTCAGTGTAACGCATTACTTTAAACCGCCATGACAGTGTTTTAGTACTTGGACTCAAATAATAGATGGCATTTGAGCGTATCGATGAGTGCCTATAAATCCAAGTATATTTTTCCAAGCGTGATACCTGCAAACAAAGATGAGATTGATTATACTATAAAATATAACAAACAGTAAGCAATAAAACCGATTGAGAAAGTGGACTACTGGACTTTCCCTGAAAAAAAGGAAACAAGCTTTTAAAATAGTATTACTTGGCCTTATCTAATGGACAACAAAAAAAAGACAGTCCCTAGTTTAATTAATGCCAAAACCTTCCACTACACGATACCGTGTACCTTGACGACGTCGACCCAAGTTCGCCTACTGCCAACCTACTGCGAGTTGAGTCGACCGCACACAGAGGAACGAACAGCTTAGTCTGACATAGACCAAAAAATTTTCTTTATATTTTTAGAATTAAATTCACACAATTATTAAGAAAGAACTCCATTTATTTTCATTTTTTTGTAAATTTGGGTGACAGATATCTTGATGCGTCAAATTTCGGTTAGAAGTGTGACTAATTACAAATTTTGCTACTATTGAATGAATGAATTGAATGAAATGTCAATGAAAAGCAAATATAAGAAAAAATCTGATATAAAATGTTGACTCTAGTAAATATTTTTGTTATATGATTACCTAATACTGATTAATGGTTTTTTGAAATTTTTTCACAAATAAGTAGTATTTTTTATCAAAAATATAATAAAAAATGAACAAATTACGTAAAAATATATCTATATCTAAGTTTTTGTATTTACTAAATTCCTTACTCGATGGGATTCGCTCAATATAATATTACGATCACGAAAATTTAACAGTTATCTGCTACGATCTGCTACCAAGGCGCTATGGAATTAACAAAAGTTCAACTTCAAAGCAAGTTTTTTTATTTTAGAAATTTTGCCAATTTTTTTTTTCTCAAAATTGTCTTAAAATAAACATAGTTGCCAAATGGTGCAAACTTTAACGCGTGCACTGTATTATATAGGGTGTCCCAATTGCCAAGCCATTGGCCACTATTGCTATCTCGGTAACTATAAGAACTACAAGGTTGGTCAATTGAGATAAAATGTACAGTTTTTAAGGGATATAAAAAATCTGGTTTCACATTAAGAAAAAAATATTTTGTACTGAGCTACGGGGGTTTTTTGAAATCTCAAAAAGTATAATTTTTACAACAAATTTTTAAGGAACATTTTTTTCTGTATTTTCTTCTTATTTTTCTTATTTTTTTAATTTGACCAACTTTGTAGTTCTTATAGTTACCAAGATAGCTTTAGTGGCCCATGGCAATTGGGACACCCTGTACAATTAGGCACAACTTTCGTTTAGCTGGGGTCAGTTATGGAAAAGATATTTATATATTTAGTATTATTATTTTATAGTAGTACATATTTACGATTTATTCTATTATAGTAGCATTTTGAAGCCTCGATTAACAGAAAATAATTAAGTTTTTCTCTGGAAATGCTTTTTAATAATTTGCATTAGTGCCAAAAATGGAGAAATACGAAATATTTCGGAAATATTCCAGCAGAACATATACGTTTTGCTGGAGGAAAACAATTATCTAGAGATGCTCAGTTTGTTGTAGACTTTTCAGGAAAACATCCACAACATGCTAATAGTATAAAAGGATTTTGTGAAAGCTTAGAGAAGCCCAAGCAACAGTGTGTTAGTAAGGAAGAAGCATTAAATATTCTAGTCACCGCAAAATTAACAAAATATCAATATAATTTTATTGGAGATGTAACTTTAGAATTTGTCAGGCATCTTAATTGTTTACGAAATGTAGGAGCTGACAATTTCTAATGTTGAAATACCTACTGGCTTTTTCAAAAATGACTATAATTAAGAACATTCTACAAAAATATTGAGTAAACAGCAATTGTCAGACTCATTTTTGTTGAACACCCTGTCTAGTTTTTACTATTTTATAAAAAAATATGTTTTTATAATAAAAATTCAAGACGAAAAATTTAGATGATATTTTAGCAAAATTATATGCATATAAAAAAATTGGTTGTTGTAATGTCGGAATTGACAATTTTTAATGTTGAAATACCTACTATCTTTTTCAAAAATGACTATAATTTTTAAATGACATTTAAGCAAAGTTATATGCATATAAAAACATAGGTTTTTGTAAAACGCACTATATTTTTGAGTTGCCCTGTATATGGTTGAAATCATGTAAGGTAACTATTTTTTATTATATTCAAGCCGTTGCTCTTTGTACAATATAACTGTGTATAAAACTCATTTCTAGCTTTTACAGATTAAAAATTTAAGTAAAAAAACTCATTTCCCTCTATTCCCAGAAGGTCCCATGTTCTGTTTTTTGTTTTTGCGATGAGTCGTCTCCAATAACTACGTCATTCGCATTCGCTGTCTTTACATAATAGTTTTGAGCGTCTGGCAAAGTAACATTCTGTGTACAACCTTTTGAAGCGAAATGTCGTTTAGGGAATTGTTTGAAAGGGAACAGTTTATTATTTAAATAATTCAACAATCCAGTCGGCAAAAGATGATGTTTAAAGATTTATGCTGAATTGACCGAGTTCAATTATAACGCCTTATTTCTCGTATAAGCTATAAAGTTTACAATAGAAAACTGAGTGTTCTTTCATAGAGAGGAATTATTTCAGGGATTGAAATTGTTTAAAAATGACGAAAATAATTTTGTGATTGGGAAAAAGCAAGAGATACACCTGTTTTTTTGTTTCAGTATTTAAAAAACGAACCATCGGAAGACGCTCAATCGCCTTATACCGACTTCACGGAACGCATGAACGACGAAGAGGATAAATCGAAACTAGCGATACCATCCTCGTCGCCTCAATCATTTTCCCACGATATGAGAACCTGCGTTGCGTCAGGCATAGCGACGTACGTCCCAGCCCAAAGGCAAGAGTACAAGAGGTACAAACAATACACGCGGGACGAGATAATGGCTGCCATAGACGCGGTACGTAATGGCATGTCAGCATTGCAAGCAGCTAGAAAATACAAGGTGCCCTCGAGGACACTTTATGACAAAGTGAAAAAATTGGGCATCACCACAAGCAGACCGTTCAAACGGGGAAGCAACGGTAGTTCCAACTGTTTTCCGTACGGCCATGGATCCCCTTACGGCGGACATATGTCGGAAGGGGAAGAGAACATAAATAACAACAGTGCCCTTCTCGAAGCCAGTACGTTTTTACAACACGCATTAGATAGCGGGGGAGGTGACGGACGCGAAGCCTTGGCGGCGATGGCTGCCGTAGCGGCTGCCCACGCCGCCAGTTCGGGACATTCGACGAGTCCCAACAACCACGGCCAAGCTCGCAGTCCGAGTCCAAGCCCGACTATGTTGAAGTACATGAGACATAGTAGCCTGACTCCATCGCCAGCACCCGGCAGTGATCATCACCACAGCGATCAAACAAACGGGAGTTCAGAGCGAGACAGGGATGACGAAGAAGATCACGTGGAAGATTTGTCCATCAACCGGAAACACGAGATGATCGAAACGCGGGTTATAATGCCGCCCATGAATGTATCTGCCATAATCAAAAAGGAAGAGATGCTTATTGACTCTATAAAAGAGGAAGTGCGGATGGAGATGCGCTTGGAAAGTGAAGCCGACTGAATTATCTGATTTAAGGTTTGAGCTTACCATAATGCTACTCGACCGGTGTTAAGTTTCATGCATATATATTTTATTAAATCCGTAACTGCAAGACAAAAAAAGCAATGGTGCAATATCGAATGTCTGTGGTTGACCACCCGTACTCACAACCTAGTTAAGGATTAACGTTTGTTTCTGTTTAGACTTAAGCTTAGGTTTAACTGAACTAAGAGTGCCTGTTCAAGTAGTATAACACAGTTTAGTTTAATTCGCACGGTATGAGGACCAACGCTCACCGATTTTGCTACAATAGTTCCTCTTAAAGGAATTGTAACTCATAAGACTGATAGATTTTATTATACGATTTTTTTATGAGACTGATGAATTGTAAAGAGAGAGAGCAAAGGGAAAATGTGGTCCTTTATACTTCGCGAAGCCGTAGGTTATAGGTGGACGACGAACGTTATAAGCCGGTGTTTTGTTGATCTTTAAAAGATGTAAATATATTTTATTTTCTGCCGACTACGAAGATAGTCGCAACTTTAAGAGTGTATCTTAGTTTATAAACTATTCGCGGAAATAACATAAAGGAATGCTTTAAGCTTGGATTTTAAAAGGCGCCGAATTAATTCAGCGAAATTGATTTATAAATTCTGGAGCCATATATCAGGTAACACAACAAAGTGGGAACACTATGTAATTTTTAAACAGTTTCAGATATTGAATATAAAATTTAAATAATGGTAAATTTTACTTTTTAAAAACATTTTAGTCCATTATATAAAAATAAATGATGACTAATTACATTCAAAAATTTCCATCACTTCGTTTCACGTTCACTGTACAAGGTAGTTTACGAGTTATAGAGTGTTCCCAATTTCTTGCGTCTCCTAATACACAGAATGATTCACGTCTAGTGTACTATTAACAGTTCCAGGGAATTAAAAAAACTTTTTAAACTTCCTACACAAAATGTAACACCTAACAAAAACTCCTAAAATAAAACCCTTCGGAACCTTTATAGGATATACTTCACTGGAATTTAAAATGGGTAGCAGATGGGTGTAGGGAAAAGTATGGAAATATTGTAGGTGGGTGGTTAATGGTCCATTTTAAGGCAAATAAGAAATCTCGTAGATATAAATAAAATACTTTAACCATTAAAATATAAGGCTCCTAGAATATACATTTTGACCTATTACTGCATAAATTAATAAATTTCGACAGTTCCCTTTTTTGGTTCTTGTTAATAAGACCACGTGAATCGTCTGATTTTTTTCTAAAATATCGACTCAATACTAGCCTTATAAAAAATATTTTGAAATATTTTCCCCCAAAATATTTAATTTTCTAAAATTCCAATGTGGAGTTGTAAACTCAAGAGAAAAGAAACAACTTAGTCCTCTACACCAATTGGTTGTTTTTCACCAGGATTTAATTTTTCTTTGTCGATTATGAAATGGATCCATAACCGTTGCAATATATTTCAATTTTTTTGAACAGAAGCGTTGCACTCGATGTCCTGCGGATTTAGATTTTTATTGTTCACTTAACACAACGATTTTTAAATTTTATGAGCTCTACGCGAACATATCTCCAATATTCCAGACAGCGAGACGTGTTAGGAGTTAAGTCGCTAAGTCTGTACTAACCGGGCATCCTTTTGTATTCGGAGGATAAACACATTCTTTTTTATTACTTACTTACTTAATCATAAACATCCCATTGAAATATTTTGTGCCTTCCCGTATATGTCAGCAGAGAATTTGTGCACCATTTCTTAAATAAAAATGTGCATATATGAATCTGAGTTACAAACGACATCAACGATAAGTGCCTGAGCTCGAGTAACCAATAATATGAAAGTTATAGCCATCATCGGAAATGGTTTTGGGTTGCCTAGAATTGTTTATTTTTAAGGTTAAGAGTTTAAGGCTTGTTAAAATATCCTACCACAATATAAGGAGTTCTGAATGCAGTAAAAGGCAAGCAAGAAAGCGTTTTGAACTTTAAAAATAAAAAACTTTGGTAAGCTGCCTCCCAAAAATTTGCTGTTTGTGTGCTGTAAAACATATACTGACAGTGTACGTGTGTTGCGTTTTGCACCATTTTGAGAAAAGCACTCGAATTACAAAACAAAACCGTTATGTTTATTTAAAAGCTATTAATATTTTTTAATGTCGCCTTTCAAAATTGCGTACTTGTTTAAAATTTTATTCTTTTCCTTTGTGTTGTATAATATATATTCAAGACTGAATTAAGTTCCATTTTATTGTTGTTAAATACATTAAAATATTTTAGCTGGAATCGTGGACCAATTTTTAAAAAATATATCGGTGCCTTCGTATTATAATGACAAAATTTTAACATTCCATATCTAATGTTTATTTATATAAATTGATATATCGCGTGCAACAATTTTTCAATTAAATTGATAATTTTTCGTTACTGAAACTGTAATGCAGTTGGAGCAAAGAAAACATAGACATTGCAGCACCTGATATGTCCAATCCAAATATTCAATGATAATGATATGTTTTTATTTTTCACTATTTCTAGAACATTAAATAGTATGAAGCCATTTCAATTACCCACGTACGTTTAATTTTTGCCATTTGTGTTTAAGACTGATGAATATTATTTGTTACATTGTTGTCGAGTATTTTAGAATTTGTTATAATTTTAATGTTGTATTAAGATCTCTCCGTTAGCTAAACTATGAAACTAATATAGGTACCATTTTATGGGATTTCTTTTGTTCCGATCAAATAATATCCCGTTTTTATCTACCTCATTATATTTTCATTAGAATATTATGACGCAAATTTTCTTGAATCCCAAAAAAAAATTACGCTATGTTGACGAAAATATAGATATTATATTATAACTAATATTTATTTTTGCAGAAATAAATTGACCCGACATTTTTTCTATACATAATATTCTAAAACTTCTCTATGTATATGTTTACCGTTAAGACATAGTTTATATATTATAATTAAGCACTATGCACAAGTATGTAAAGCATTATTAGTGGAAATATAAAAACCATTATTGTAACGTCTTTTTGTTATAACTGGGCTGGTGTTGATGAACAATCAGAAAAACAAAAATAGGCTAATCTCACTTTTTTTAAAACAAATTCTTCAATGACTTTAGATATGCCACACTATTGTGAGTTCACCAGTTTACGCGAAAAAACACGTTTTTTCTTTATTTTTTGACATGAACAATATTTTGAAGCAATAGTTTTTGATTTTTAAATTTGCATAAATTATAATTCTAACACACTAAACTCTCAGGATTATTTTATCGGTTCTTCAAAATTTTGTATATTTCATTTAATTATAACAGTTGCAAATTTGAACAAAAAAGCAAATTTTGATGATTAGTTGCAGGACATCGAAAGTTGTTACAGAAAACGTGCCTATTATTTTTTAACTTTGACCTCTTGTAACTCCGTTATTATTATGTTAGACAAAAATTTAGTTAAATCTTAGTTCAATCTTAGTTTGATCTGTTGTATCTGAGGTAAAGTACATTTTGGATACACCCAGTGTATTGTGCAATATATCTGTAATGACATATATATTTAGAAAGCAAAATTCGTAAACAACTTAATGAAGTTTTACTGTTTTAGTTGTTAATACGTTGTTTCAATGCATAGAATACTAAGCTTAGTTAATAAAAAATACGGACTAGAGACAACCTCAGATCTGATTTCTTCCGTCTTAATGCGAGTAGACTAGGTTCAAATTACTACTGCATCCATTTTTTTAATAAACTTAAGCCCGAGACAAAACAACTCAAAATAAACAATTTCAAAAACTTAGCCAAACATTTTTTAATAAAGCAATCATTTTACAGCTTGGAGGAGTTTATCCTTTTTCGAAATATCAATAACTGTACCTAGTCCGATGATTGCACCCTTCGACTCTCTGATTTCGGTGATAAGTTTCTGTGATAATCGGCGTTCAGCTTTCATTTATATCCAGATGCCCACAGAGCACTTTATATTTTATGTATTATGCTTTATGTTTTATGTGTATATTATGTTGTAAAATTGTTATTCTATTTTATATTTCGTTGCCGTGATTACATTTTCTATGCTAATAAATGAAATGAAATCAAATGAAATAATATCGGGATCTCTAAACATGCATAAGCATAGTTCAATATCCTTGTCTTTTAATGAATTGTTATCTATGTATCGGACCCATTGTTACTAATCCTAAATTTTCAACCAAAAATTAATTCTAACTGATTTTCCTATTCTATGGATCGTTAGATTGGCGAATGCCCCTAGTAGATACGCCTCATAGGACTTAAATTTGACTCGAAGACGAAAGTTTTCTATGCTTTGGCTATAACCTTATTTGCTTACTGATGACGTCAGACATCATACGATATTTTAAAGAAATTTGATTCGTTCAAATTTATGTTGTGACTGCATGGAAAAATAATTGTTATAATAAGAAGAAAAAAGGACGTGCGGAGGGATGGATGAAAACATCCCTAGTTTTCCCTCTTCAGGGGATTTAAACATACCGGATTTAGGCGTGCTCGATGGTGAGAATTAAAACACTAACATTTTGAGACCTAATGAACTTCTATTGCAGATATTTTAACCCAGTGTGATAGTGACTTTATAAAAAGTGACCTGTTCGAAGATGATGCCTTACTATCTCAACTTGATTTGCCTATGGAAGATTTATCTTTTGATTTAGGAGGCATTCCCAATAGTACATTCGTAGATCCACAGGCTTTAACACCTCAGCGAACTCCTCCTTTTAATACCACTCCAAATCAAAATAGCTATTCAGTTAAGACTCCAAATCAAATTTCTTATGCAGATAGTGGTCATCAAGTTTTGCCATCTCTGCAGATTAAAAGTGTCTCACCTGCTGTTCAGAATCCAGCAACTGTTATAATTTCTTCTGCCACTGTTCCCGAGAACACTTCACATGTTGTTTACAGTACTTTACCAGTACACACTAATCAGCCCATCATTTTGCAGCCTCAAAATCAGAATGTGGCCAAGCGAAAACATTCCAAGCATCAAAACAAGTCTCCAGTAATTGTACAGAATATTGGACAAATATCTTCAGATCAAATGCAACCAGTGGTGTTACAAGCAAAGCTTATAACAACAGAAAATCAAATTAGCAGACCCACTGTGATGTACACGACATCGGGCCCCACTCAACAGCTTCATACTTTATTGGGTACTCCTCAACTTTTAACTACTGCTAGCATACCAGTTATGCTTGACACTGAGAATAAAGTGGCAATTAATAGAATACCTCAAGTCAAGGAGGTTAAAGTAAAAGAGGTAAAAAGGAGTGCTCACAATGCAATTGAAAGGAAGTATCGAACTAGTATTAATGATAAAATTATTGAATTAAAAAACATTGTTGTTGGAGAAGAGGCAAAGGTATGTTAGACAGAAAATCATGAGCTTTCTTTTTCTGTGTATTGCTCTGGCAATAAAAGGTTTAAAAATTTTAATCATAGTGTGGATCTTATCACAGATTTTTAATTTCAAGGCACAAATTTGGACTTCATTTCTTAAAAAAAAAAATAGAACTGTAATATTGTAGTAAGGAGTCAGGAGAGCATATAACACTAAATGTTTTAGCGTCCTGTATCACTATTTTAAAATCTGACATATTTTGAATTTTCAAGGTGAACTACCACCATCAGCCAACCTGACAAATTGGCCGTCCATCACCAATATTAAAAAAAAATGTATTACATTATGAAATTTACCTTTGGTCAAAATATTTACATTATAAACATTATGATTATGCATTGTGTTATTAAGAATGTTAAAGTTATCATTCTTAAGTGTTACTCTTATTTAACCATTTCTTCTTTTTCTCCTGTTTTAAAATCCACAACACAATATTTTAAATTTTCGGCGCGAACTTTTACAATTTGACAGTTTTATTTCACTTTATATCATTCTACCGTTTTTTAGTTAAATAAATCTGCAATTTTAAGAAAAACCATCGAGTATATTCGATTTCTTCAAAACTCAAATTCACGGTTGAAGCAGGAAAATATGGCGCTAAAAATGGCAGCTACGCAAACAACGCTTAAAGGCATCCTTACTAATAATGTAAAATATGGTCCTGATGATACTCCTCCGCATTCTGATGTATCTTCTATGTCTCCGGAACATTCCCTGCCATCCAGTCCGGAGTATTCTACAAATATAAAGGATGAAAGTGATGAAGAAACAGTACCAATTGTCAGGGGAATGCTAGATCAGTCCCGGTTAACACTTTGTGTGTTTATGTTGGCATTTCTGGCATTCAATCCTTTTGGGTTCGCACTGAATAGAATTTCTAGTGGAAGCAGTAGTAATGTATCTGGTGGACGAACCATGTTGTCATGTAGGTATACCGATTGATCATAGTTTTTATGTTGCAGAAATAATTCCCAAAAAAAACTGCTGCATAACTTGCAATACATAGTTTGATCCCATTTTAGGGAATGAACAGAAGACTGTGTCATTTTCTCCATTTTCTTTATTAATGTGGTTGTTAAATATCGCTGTTTTAAGTTTTTGTTTCTTAAAAATGTTTGTGTATGGTGATCCAATTATTCCCAGCAAATCAAAGAAAACTGAAAAATATTGGATTCACAGAAAACAGGCAGACATTTATTTACTCGAGGTAAGATACTTTATTTTAGCCATTTAAATTTGATGGGTGGTTTCACTGTGATACTGTATGCTGTTTCTGTGCTGCCTAAGGCTAAATCAAAACAGTGGGGTTTTGTTTTTGAAGAAGTTGTTAAAATATTTTATTTTTATATTTGCTTCTTCATAAAATCAATAAAAAATCCAAAATTTTATTGTTTTAGGGCAATAAGTCAGGTGCTAAGCAAGAATTGCTTCGGTGTCTGCAAGTATATGGAATTGCTCTTCCAACAAGTCGTTTGGAATTAATGTTGTGTTTTTGTTGGCAAATTTTCAGACAAACCATGCATAGGCTGTGGATTGGTAGATACCTGTCCCAACATGCCGGTGGATTTTTTGTAGATAAGTGAGTTGATATATTTCTGTCGAACAAAATATAATGAATAACATATTGTACCCAGAAAAACTAGATTTGAAATCCAAACATCCTGTAAAGAACTTGCCCTAGTTTTCAATGATTTACACAAAATTCAGCTGGTCGAACAAGAGGAAATGGGCCATATTTTTGGTTTAACTACATCATTGAATGCCTTAAATTTGGCTGAAGCCGCCAAAGGCAGAATAAAGCCAGTTGATTTGATTGATATCTACATTGGTGTTGCATTAAGACTTAAAGCCAGCCTTCCCGCATTTTTTTACCTCTTTCAAAGGTAATGTTTCCTTATAGAAAATTTTGTAAAATACTATGAAAGTTTTAATTCCTTATTTTAAATACCATTTTTTCTCTAGATACTATTTGGGATTGGCAAAATTGGCCTCTACTTATTCATGCGATTCGATACCGGTTAGGTTAAAATGGATTTTTACTCCATATGGGTACAAGTACTTTTTGTCACACAAATTTGTGCAAGAGTACAAACCAAAAAGCTTACCTTTCACTGTTTTGGGAAAGATTATTGATCCATTAGTAGTTCAAATGAAGGTAAGGTTTCTTTATGTCTTACATTTTTATCCTCGATTAAAAGTAAATTCCTCCTCTCATTTCTAGATCTACCATGAACATCTTTTGGAAAAAGCGCTTTCAGTGCTCCTGGCACCTGGTCAGAAAAGTGAACTAAAACAAGACAAGAAAACTGACCTAAAAGATGTTCTAATATACATTGACCTTTTAAACGATAACATAACCATAGATCCTAAAATGCTGTTTTGCTCGGAAAATTACTATGATTATCAGGATCATGTGGCTCATTGGTGGGCCAATTTTATTGCTGTTGCATGTTACTGGTTGTTGAAAGAGGAATCTAAAACTGAGAAATTGTACTCGAAACTAGAAATATTACCAGATGTTTTAATTATGCAAGATGATCCATTGCCAAAATCCATATTAGCTGCCTACGTTGCCAGACGAAATTATTTAACGGCAAGCGGAAAAATCCCAAAAACGGAGATTCAGTTTCAGTGCAATTCCGCTAGCCATTTGCTTGCGGATAGCTTAACATATACTAGTTGCAAAAGGACAGATTCTTTAATCCTGGTAAGTGTTTTTGCACCTCATATAACTGTAATTGTCAAATGATATTGATTAAAGAAATAAAATATTTTTTTGACATCCTAACGCTAATCTTTCTTGTGAGGTGTTGAAGCAGGTTGATTTTTGTGTGTGTTTTTTTTAAATTCTATTATAGGCAAAGTAGGAATCCTTTTGGCAATGACAGTGCATTGTAGTTGCATTGCATGGGCTTTGGGAGTGCAGTGTTTCTTCAGTGCAACCGTTATTGCTAAATATTTCATCGGTCCCAAAAAAAGCAAAAGTAACAAGCTTCATTTTTGCTAAAACTTTTTTCCTTTGAAGTTGTCGCAGTTGCTTGTTTGCGATTGGCTACTAGAGACAAGAACTTCTCTATGGGAAGACACCTTGGACGAGAGTTCGAAACCACCAGCGTCCAGCAATTGTCTAACAGCTTTCAACAGGGATCTGACATCGCTGAGGACTTTGGCGGAACAGCTTCCGGTAAGTATTCAGTATATTTCTACCTGTTATTTTGCAAGTTATTTATTTTTGTTTGTTGTTTTTTTTTGTAGTTTACACTGTCCAGAGTTTTCCTGTATGATGCCACCTTGCGATTAATGGCTGGTGCGGCGCCCGGAAGAACACAACAACTGCTCGACCGAAGCGTCAGGCAGAGGCACGGAAAATCGTCCATAATTTGTGGGAAAGGTAAGCTCACAGCAGCCGGAACGCAAGTTTTGCAGTGAAACCTTTAATATATACGAACTATTTACAATAAAACTCTGGGTACTGTTTAGGCGACAGACATCAGCAGGACGTTGGTAATGAACGTCAACACGCAGCAGCCCTTTATATGGCATGCAAACATCTGCCTGGCCCTCTATTGTCTTCACCAGGCGAAAGGGCCGGTATGTTAGTGGAGGCTGCCAAAACTCTAGAACGGATAGGGGATCAAAAGTCATTGCAGGACTGTTACAAGTTAATGAAAACACTAGGTACAAATGCAGTTATAACAAATTGACGGACTTCTCTGTAAGCGAAAACTTTTTAATTTATTTGTTTAGTTGCTACATTGAAAAAAAAACTTTGTAGTGTGAAATGCTTTATTAATTTAAGTATATTTGTTATTTTTTGTGAAACAAAAATAAAACCAATAAGATTTCATTTAAAATTTCTTAATGATTTGCTTATAGAGCCCTGACAAATGAACTACTATTAATTATGTTTTATTTCTCTAGTATATTCTCCAGGAATTTTAAAATGTTGACCAGTGACCCTGTTGAAGACAATAACTTCTCAGCGTGGGTGGTAATTTTTGAATTATTAGTTATTCTAAATGTCGCCGCTTTTCCTCTTAGCACCTGGAAGAGATAGTAATTTATACACAATGTGGTTGTAGATCCCCAAATCCTTTTTTTGTACTTTCAATATATATATATATATATATATATATTTTTTTGGAAATAGCTGGTAGAAATAGGTCATAAATTTTGGCCAATTTCCTTACCTTCATTGCATCTTCATCTGTATTGTCATCGCCAGCAAAAATGACTTTAATATTGTCTTGCCATTCATCTTTTCCATATTCTTTATCGAGCAACATAGTCACCACTGTGCCCTTATTCCATTCAACCTTCGGTCGAGCTTCCAAGGCGCAATGCGCAATACTGACCTGAAATAACAGTTTCATGATGCTGCAAATGAAAGTATGATACAAAATATCAACTTTAAACCCTGCATGTTCCATAATTTCCTTTGCACTTTTTTCAATGTGAGGCCGGAGATGCTCCGGTGTGGCTCTAAAGTGAAATGTTAAGGTAGCACCTTTGTTCTCTATCCATGCTCCCTCCCGAACCACCGATTTTTCAAGACCAGCGATTAATGCTTTTACTTGCTCGTCAAATTCGGTTGGCAGTTGATGCGTATACCTTTCTCCTGTGGGAAATATCACTTCCAAACCATGATTGCCAGCATATGTTATATTATGGAGGCCCACCTAAAATGCTACTGCCTTCAACTTAAAATAAAAAAATTCATTATTTAATTATTTTGAAAAATCATTAAAAATCAGTAAAAAATAGTGACTCGCATCATTTACAATATCCTATGCCTAAAGGAAACTATTTAACTTGCATGGTTGTCTAATTTCGCAAATTTGAAGGGTAAAGATTGATATAATACATATTATAAGAAAACGTTCTCATTCATTTTAAAAAGTGCGCTAATAGTACTTGCCATATCCTTCACATTATCAACGTTTCTTCCGGAAACGATTGCAACAAATACATCCGGCAATTCAGAAAGCCTTTTTAGAATTGTTTTGGTTTGCGCGGGTATTTTGGCAAGGTCTGGGTGTGCGACTATTGGCGTAAGGGTTCCATCGTAATCCAATAACAGTGCAACTTTTTTTGACCCTCCCAAATAACTAAAACCGTGTTTTATAGCTGTAGAAAATGTTATATCAATGAAAATATAAAAATGTTTGTTGAGGTTAAGGCCTGTGATTTTATGAACGTTAACATGCATGCAATTAGATTTGTATTTTGTTTGTGTATTTTACGTTTTACTTACTTTAATAAATATTCTTCAAAATCATCGAACACGCGTTCGTTAGGGTTAGTATCTGCAAATTTACATATCATTAACAGAAAACAAAAGCAAACTCTATTGCTCATGGCACCTTTTGACATAGTTGCTACAACAGATACTAAACTTAATTATCTGAGCCTCGAATCTGCGACAAAAATTAATTATCAACACGTTTTTTGCCCCTCAAACTCTGCAGTTTCCACGAAACTAAAGCAATTTCTCGGTCATAAGTGCATTTTATTCGAATTTCCGTCAGCTTAACGCGCATGCGGTGACGAAAGAGGGGCGATCTAAATTCCAGCGGCGGATCAAGCGAACAATGAAACAAATTGCAAAATGATCGTTTTATTCTGAAATAAAACCTCAGCGGCATTAACATACAAAAACTAAAATTATACATATACTATTTATTTGGATATTAAATTTTATAAATCCACTTTGGTTTGAAATTATCATAATTGTACTGGATTTACGAAAAGCAAATTTGTTGTTACTTGCGCAAATTACTACTGAAAACTTTGTTCGGTATTGTTTCCTAAAACTTTATAAAAATAAATATTATGAGGTAACATTTATAAATAATCTATATAGATTAAATTTGTTTGTGCAAAATACGCTTTTATAATATCAGTCTAAAACGCTCAAGGAGTACATCGTGTTTAAAATAAAACAAACTCTTCTCGTATATTTGCAATGGCTACAAATCTTCAAAATCACTCGCGAGCGAATAATTTGATTAGATGGATTCAGTAGAAACAATGATAAAAACTAAAATCACAGAACATAAATCTAATGAGAGTTATTATTCGCGTGGGGCGAAAGAGTATTCGGAGTCTTTTTGGGAGGTAAATCATTTGTCGTAGGAACCATTGACATTTCTATTTGTACCCCTGATGTGGCCGCTTTGGCCAGTGAATTTCTTCGGTAAGTTGTAGGATCCAGGGAAGGCTTCCTTCTGTTTAGATGTCTCTCTATCCATCTTAACATTGTAAGTACAGAGTCAGTCGACGGCAAACGTCTCTCAGCGGAAGTTTTAATTATGTGAGACGAGGTCACGCGGAAAGTAGCGGCCATACCTTTCAGTGCCTAAAAGTATCAACAAAACGGTCAACGTCGCCATTTTTAAAAATTATTGTAAATACCAGTGTGTTTTGATAAATTTTAAAATACTTACGAGCATGGCATCTTCGTCTGTCGCATCATCACCGACGTAAATTATCCTAATTCTTTCGCTCCAGTCGACTCCAAAAGCGGTTCTCAAGATATAAATGGAGGCTCTCCCTTTGTTCCACTGCACAGGAGGTTTGGCCTCGATGGCGCAGTGGGCTTTACCCACCGTGAAACCTGCGTCCTGGATCATTTTCCGAGCCTGGACTTCTAGTCCTGCTCTCAAATGCACCGGAGTTTCGCGAAAGTGGAATGTGAGCAGAGCGCCTTTGTTCTCAACCCACGCACCGTCCCTGCAAACCGTTTCCTGAAGTTGCCGCATCAACTCGCCCACCTTATTGTGGAACTCTGTAGGCATGGGGTGAACGAATTTCGTCCCATCGGGGTGCAAAATTTCCAATCCGTGATTGCCGGCATATGTGATACCGTCAATACCCACCTGAAAAACAATAACCAAGGTAAATTTCAAGAGATCTAATAACCATACTAAATTTTTATACCATTGCCTTAACGTTATCGACGTTTCGTCCACTAACAATGGCAATATATACGTCGGACATGTTTGACAATCGTTGCAAAATATTTTTGGTTTCTGCAGGTATTATGGCCAGGTCCGGGTGGGGTGCAATAGGTGCAAGAGTACCATCGTAGTCCAACAAAAGCGCCAGCTTTAGTGTATTGCCAATGTATCTGGAAAAATATTCAGTTAATGATTAAAACGCATTACATTTTATCATATTCACTTTGAAAGATATTCGTCAAAATCGTCCAGAGTGACAGCTGGCATAGATATTGAACCAATGTCGTCGTGGTCCTCTTGTGTCATTAGAGAACCCATGGCACTCAAGAAACTCTTAGTCCAATAATTTACATCGTTCAGTTTCTCTCTCCTCCTCAAATAATTCATACGAAGAATCCGTTCATCCTCTGGCATCGTTAGAGCTCTATAAAATTATGTGATAAGTAAAATACTCGTACATTTTACAATGCATACTGAAAATGATAATTAAACATTTATTATCATATTTTACAATAAATTGGATTGAAATATCTAATTGGGAAAAAAGCACACATTTCAGACTTGTGCATATGTGCATGATGCAGCTGATTATACGACAATAAATTCCATGTATATCCGTCTGGTAAAAATGGTAAGACAATAAATAAGCAAAGATTGAGGAGAACAGAGAATAAAGCTGAGAATTATATATCTATTACATTAATAAGGAAAACAAAACAAGAGGAGCTTCAAGAATCAAAGATTTCATAATTATTTAATTGGGGACGTCATACAGTAAGAAAAGGCGGTTTGTGGACAGCTGGCTTTAAAAAGGTTTCGGGGGCATTTGAATTAGTATTTTATAAAAAAAATAGGCATATGCTATGTAGTATAGTCAATGGAACATAGTAAGACATTGCATAAGATACCAGTTCTAGAGGAAAAAGTAAACTTAAACAAAAAAGTTAATAATTCGAAATATTGATGGTTGTTTTTCTGTCTAAGCTCTTGGGCACATTTGTAAAGCAACTTCATACCTATGAATCACCTCAGAAGCGTCGTCAATTTCATACGGATTACAAATAAGCGCTTCGTGCATTGTCTCCCCGGCTCCGGCGAAAGGAGACACTATTAGTACACCTGGCGGGATATTGATTTGACAAGCAACAAATTCTTTGGCGACAAGGTTCATGCCATCTCTGAGTGGTGTCACCAGTCCTACAGCGGCATCTCTATAGAAGGCCGCCAAATCGTCTTGTGACACGCAACCATAAATGTACCTAACAAACAATATAGTCAGTCAATGGACGATTTATTTCAGTGCTATGCAGTTAGTCTACCTAATTGGCGACCAGTTAGCTGTGGTGAATCTTCCATTAATCCGTCCCACCAATTGGTCCATTTCCTCTTTCAAGTCTTGATATTCTTTAACGTCCGTCCTAGATGGTACCGATATTTGCAGAAGGGATACTTTTTCAATATGCTCCGGGTGCTTTTCTAATAACTTTTCGAAGGCCAACAGTCTGTGGACCAACCCCTTTGTGTAGTCCAGCCTGTCTACACCGAGGATGATTTTTTGATTGGTGGACAACACTTTGGGCGCTTTTTCCGCCAGTTCCACAAATCTCTCGAACGGAATTCCGATGGGTAACGGCCTCACTCTTACAGATCGTCCGCCGTGTTCTACCAAGATGTTTTTTCTGTCTACTCGACAGCCCAAATTCCTTTGACAACAGTCGACAAAGTTTAAGCAATAGTCGGTAATGTGAAAACCGACCATATCACAGGCCAACATACCCTGAAGAATTTCGTCAGACCATGGGAAAAGGCGGAATATGTCCCACGGGGGAAATGGAATATGGAGGAAAAATCCTAATTTACAGGGGATGCCTTCTTCTTCGGCGGCCTGAAACAAATGTAAGCGTAAAAAAGGTAGTAAAGACCACCATCATATAGGAAATATAGAGCCCCGAATGATGGGATGGGAATGATAATGGAATCTAGATTTTGATAAAAATGAAAAATAACCATTGGTGTAGGAGTCACGGCAAACATTATGTAAGTAAATTATTAAATTTACTGGAAACAGGCATAACACCCAAATTACCCCCACCATCTGAGTCACCGATTTTTATTTGTATTTTTTCGAAAACGGTTGGGTTTTCACAGATGTTTATGAAGAAAACTTTAGGACATCACAAGGTTCGGTGTTTTAAAACTAATTGTTGGCAGGATTACTTGATTTCATTCACTTTTTGCTGAATAAGAAAATAAATATTAATAAATCATTTTTATTCGACTCATATTTGTAAAAAGGAGCATTTTATGAGAACATATAAATTTATTATCAATACCATTATTATATATTTAAAATATAGGAATTTAGTTTGTTTGCTCTAAAAATTTGAAAATCTAGATGTGGCAAAATATTGATAATATTCATTTGTATATATCGATTTTTGTTTATGAAAATGAAAATTCATTTAGTATAATTTCTGAATTTGCCGAACAGTTAAAATTCTAACCGTTTTTCAGGCGAGATAGTACGATAGAAGCCTTTCAGATCTAATGTGTATACACGTATACGACGTAGGTTTAAAGATCTTCGTTTGAGAAAAAGTCCTTCAATGAACGAATTGTTGATGCAAAAAACTAGCCCACTTTGAGGCTAATTTCCAACCAACAATACCACGACACCGTGCTCTTGTAAGAAGAAAAAAATCTCATATGAACCACCAGGCCAACCAATCGAAAATTCCTCTTTTGCTTTACCATTGATCAAATACTAAATGCACTAGATACTAGATTTGCTCAACTTGGTCAACAAAGTCCACATTTTCCATTCTTATATAATATACATGATTTAAAAGCGATATATTAGCACACCATAAGGATTTCACTGATGGTGGTTCATGTGACAAAAATTTTTGCACAACTACAGAATCAGTTGCGAGGAAGGAGGCAGGCACGTTATTGTGTAAACTTTGTTAAAGCTGAGTAGGGCAAAACTAATATTTGTAGTCAATGTCCTTGTTTAAGTTTGAAAAAGCATGTGTAACTTTTCGAAAAATGCTTATTGGTACCTGTCGTATCCAGTTCGCCGCCAACATTAGATGATAATCGTGGACCCATACGAGGGGAACATCTTGCGATTTCGGCAATTGCCTTAGAGCTTTCATGGTACATTCGGCGAACTCTTTGTTCGCTATCACGTAGTTCTTCCAGTGTTCTCCCTTAAATTGTGCTCTATCGGGCATCGAATGAAACAATGGCCAAAATGTGGCGTTGCAACAACCGTTATAATAGGAATCGAATATTTGGGGATCCATTTGAACCGGCACCACCTTGTCCGATTTCAATCCGGCGGTGGGGGTGATATCGTCCGGATCACTCTCCGGAATGGGTTCGGTAGGATCTTCCAAATGTATTCCGGGCCAACCGACCCAAAATCCATTTCCGTTTATCACCACCGGTGCTACTGCGGTTACCAAACCACCAGCGCTGAAATGTACAAAAACGCCAAAGTTATTGGTATCGAATGGGTTAATATAAAAAAAGAAAAATCAATTCTGAATGCAGACGGGCAGAACCGACTCAGTATCTATACTAACTTGAATTTTTAAAATAATTTGTTTTTAGTATGAGTTGCACATATTCCAGAGTTTATAAAATTACTCTAAAAACTTTATTTTTCTCATTTTAATCTCCAATGTTTAAAAATGTATTTCAATTCAATTTCACGTGGAAAAAAATCACACTTTATTACGAAAAAACATTTCCCTTTAAATTATTTATTTACGCTCACTGCGGACTAAATTTCTTGTGATGACACAATCAGTATGTTCTATTATACCGGGTTAGTAAAAAGTACCCGAACAGTTAAATATCTCCAAAACTGCCAAAGCTGCAACGATAAAATTCAATACCTGACGGTTTTGGAATATGCAAAATTCAAAAATGCTAGTGCTAATGCTAAATGATTTTGTTAGTTACGGTGTGTGCCTTTAGAGTTTGTTAAATTTGTTAAAATTTCATTTTAATTGCTTATGCAGATTGTGGAGTTTTGTATGGATAAAATAAAAATAGATAGATGTCAGACGACAACATGAAAGATCTATTCACAAAAATGAAAATTATCTGCAGATAATAGTTTCAATTTCAAATTTTAAACAAAAAAAGGAGAGAGAATGTAACCCCGGGTGTTCGTTGATTGTTATTATTCGACGATAAAGTTAGGTTAGGTTGAAAATTATACAAGTTTCAATCAATTTACAATTAATCATAAACTATTGGAGTCAAAGTAATTGCCAAACGATTTGAAATTCTTGTCTACGAACAAACCTAATATTTTTGTTCGACAAAATCTATCGATTGGCCTATAGAATAGATGCGACTTCGGGGCCCCTCCAAACAGGCTTATCATTTTTGTTTTGTTTCGAGCTATTTATTTATTGGAATTAATAGAGGGTTCACTGCACTGCAGAATGAAAATATATTTTTATTGATAGATATCGATAATTTTAATGACCATTGACGTAAACTCGGAACGTTGCAAAAGCGACTTAAACGAGAAAATAACAGATTTGATGATAATAAAGTAGTCTAAATATCTAAGACATAATTGGTAATAATTAATAGAGACGGATCATAGTTATATTAGACACGTCTAGGGACGCCTTATCCTTATATCCCTAAAAGATGGGGATTACGGGTTGTTTTGGAATTCTATACTAACGACAAATTTTTAAAAAATGCATTCAGTTTATCGTACTTGGAAGAATATTATATTGTAAACGGGTGTAGGCGGTAAAGTGCAAGAAGAAATGTACGGGAGGACTTTTGCTGCCATGATTTACACATTATGTTCCTGCTGATACTACAACATAAATGTTTCTAAGTAAACATAATTTACCGCCTTTTTTTCAGCTATCCTTGGAAACTCTTACGTCTACCAGAAAAAGTTAAAAATAATTTTCTTGCCTAGGGATTTTCAAGTAGTGATAAGAATCAGTACTCGGGGCACCAAATTTATTAATTTAACAAAATTTCAGACTTTGCTTTGATGTCTTTTTTAACTGAGCTTTTCCCGTTTTTTACTTTTTTACCGGTTTATTGTGATTTTATGTCTATTATTTTGTACTATGTTTAATACGTGGGCATTTATTCTACTTTATAAATAACAACTCCCTTATTTTGATAGTTGAACAGGTAAATAAATGCTGTCAGGTAAACCAACATTCTTTATCCATTATTTTGAATCGATGATGTCTTGTTTGACCGACTGAAAACCGAGAACTTTTTGATAGGGGTCTAATAATAATAAACTTTTATGTGAGATATCGGTACTCCTACATCCACCACAATCCCTTTAGCATCGCCAATAAAGTGGAATTACTACATTTGCAATCGCAAAACGCCCCTACCAAGTTGCACAATATTTTTATGTAATAAGCTATATATTATTAATGTAAATACAATATCTTTCGCATATTTTTAATATGTTTTATAAAAAGTAGAGTTTCGTGAGTAAAACGTTGGGTTGTTTGAGATAAATGGTTGGTTTATCATGCAGATATTGTGACAAATAGTCTTTACATTCCAAGACGTTTGTTTATTTAATTAATTAATTTGTGACAATGCAGTTAGAGTTGCCGAATTACAAAAGGGTAAATGCACACAAACTATTAATAATTTTTTAAATTTCATCGATGTAATTGGAACACAACAATTAAAAAAAAAGTTGTTTGTACAAAAAAAAAATCCTACATTAAGCGCAAAAAAAATGGCACAAACCGGTTCATAAACTTTTGCCTATTTGCAATAATGATTGCAAGACTTCAACAATTGAGCGATTGACCCATCTCCAGAATTATTGTGCTTAACAGCTGCTGGGCTGATTGTAACGTTAATCCTTAAAGTCTAAAAAGGTTAACTCACCTAGCATTTCTGACTAGCTTCCCATCCTTGTTCCGTTTCAAGACGAAAGGTAGCCTGTTGGAGATGACGATCATGCTCCCCGATGAAGCGACCACATCTGTAGAATATTGAAATTTCGGTGGTAAAGGCGCCATTCGGAACAGTGAAAAATAAAATAATTGTTGCTCAAAGGAACGAAAATATTGTACGCAACAACGAGGTCAGTTCTCGTCAAAAAGTCATAATTGCTGACGACCGTACGCAAGCAGTGATTAAACTGGAAGTTATTAGTCCTGTATGTGCCTTTTATCACTATGATGTGTTGCAAAATACGGATAAGAGAGAAGAACAGATTCGGTAGTAGGATACTTTAGACTAGAAGCATGGCGCGAAGATGTGGCTGCTATAATGGACAAAGTCGACTCATAAGGGGTCATTCGAGTTATCAGCTTAAACGACTTTGGCCGATCTTTTATATTGATTTACAACTGTTAAGGATGTAAACACAAGACACCATCGGTAGCCATTACATCGTGATTTAAAAAACAGATGTAAACAAAAATGTGTTTTGCCTATCAACAATCAAAAGTAAACAACTATTATCATCAGAAATTCGGCTACATTTTTGTTTAAATTATACTTTTGGGTGATAATTTATTTAATATGTAGGCCGCTTAATAATCCCATCAAGCAAGTGTTCTCTTAAAGGTCCAAACACGCTAAATTTGGTATTAGTTGCTTCCGTTACCCTTGCTCCTGGATGATCGGTAAAAATGCCTACCCACAAATAGCAATTTTGGAATGCGTGCCGTAGCAGTACTAAGACGGTGTCAATATCCGTAAAATCTCTTGTTTGTTTTGCCACGTTCTAAGGAAATTCGGTGTATTATACCGCCAATGTCGTTCATCAAGTGTAAATCACGCTGGTACTTTGTGGTCCGTAAGCACGTTTTCAAGATCGCTCTGGAATGACGTCAATCGCCGACCTTCGTGTTATTTTTTGGCCCCTATGTTGAGATAAAAACATTTCTGGCAGCGACGCTCGCAGAACGTGATGCAAAAAATTTTTCCGAATTCCATCAGTTATAAGAAATTTTATATACCTGTAGGTGGAGGCATAATCATTGATCTATAATCCCGCTAAAACAGCAGAGCTTTATAAGGTCCATTCTAACAACTTACTGTATACCGGCGTTCATGTTCCGTTCATTATTTTATTTATCCACGTAAGATTTTAGTCAACAAGCACTTCAACGTTGACATTTAACTGACATCACGTATACTTTTAACGGTGTAACGATCAATGTCATAATATGGGGTAGAAGGTTAGGTAGGAAGGTAAGCCGCTGTGATATAGTTACTATGTTCAAAATAGTGTATTATGCAACAAGTGCGGTAAACGGCATTTGACTCACGAGTTTATTTGACACGAGCAGAGCGCAGCGGAACGAGTTTTTAATAAAAGAGTGAGTTAAAAAATTTGCCGAACGTGTTGCATACTATACTTTTTCTACGACCGTTAGTTTTCGGGTCCATTTTCGCAAAACACGAATACATTCACTGACATGACCGTCAGAATTGACAAACGTCAAAATTCAAGGCGTGGAAAATATCTCCGAAAACGTCCGATTACTCCAACAAGTGCGGTAAACGGCATTTGACTCACGAGTTTTTAATAAAAGAGTGAGTTAAAAAGTTTACCGAACGTGTTGCATACTATACTTTTTCTACGACCGTTAGTTTTTGGGTACATTTTCGCAAAACAACACGAATACAGTCACTGACATGACCGTCAGAATTGACAAACGTCAAAATTCATAGTGTCGGAAATATCTCCGAAAACATCCGGCTCGGATTCGTGGGAAACGAAACTGACGTGTTAAAGTGACGCTTCACACACGCTAGATCGGTGGGTAAGTAGGTATTTTACGGATGGGAGTAGAAAAAAGTTATTATCATACGCCATGGCAGTCACACAGTATAATTGTTGGTTTTCTAATCAGTGTTAATAATTGTATTGACTAATTTAAGTTTGAGGAATAATGAGCTAAAATGAATCAAATATATCCCAAAGAGTCTTAGTTAAGGAGAGTGTAATTTTTTACTAATGCATAGACGACGAGGCTGTTGCTTATAACTGTTACGCTATCGATAAATTCTATTAGGTTTGCTTTGCGAAAAGATTGCCTTATTTATTATTATTTGGACTAGTTTAATGTAGTCCGATCGGGTTTTGTTATTATTAATAAAACCCGAATGCCTGAGGACTGACTTCGAAGCCTAATTTATAAAAATGATTTAGGCATTATCGTCTGATTATCTTCGACCTTCTGATTTTAGTTTTTTAGATTTTTAGAATTTCGATGGTTATAAGTATAAGAAAATTATATTCCCTTTTTATTTATCGAAGGTTTTACTGAACTTTGATGATAATTATTAATTTCCTCATGGTAGACGTGATACTTATACCAAAATTTGGACAGTGATTTGTGTTTTTATCAATATCTGCATATCGATATCAAAATATCTCTAACTCTACTTACTACTATCATTAATTGCTATTTTTGGTAGATCACAAGTGCCGCGAAGAAATTTTTTAAAATTGATGGTATGGTTAGTTACAGCCAATACAGACGTTACCTAAATATCAAAATAAATTACAAATATACTACAAAAATATACAATATTTTTTTACATTCCCTGAGATAAAGCAATAATAAATACCACAGTTCAAGTTTTATAATTTTTTTATAAAAATATAATTAATCAGGTTTCAAAAATATTACGAAGGTTTTTGGCCACAAGCGTGACAAACGACATTTTAGTCACGAGTACATAAACGAGTGACTGAAGAAGTTTATCAATACGTGTTGTATTCTACACTTTTTCTACGACCATCAGATTTGGCGACATTTTTCTAATAGAGCTTATTCAAAGTAGCAACTGAGTTGCGATTTAGAGCTGAAAAAAACAATTTCTTTACCACGCAGTATTGTGAAAAAGAGTTGCAGATATTTTGCTTAGTTTATACATATGGAATGGATATAGTAATCGTGATTACAGTGATTATCAATTAAAACATGTCAGATATTTGGTTAGTTCCAAGTTAATAAAATTTAGCATTAGCTTATTAAATTAATTGTAACTGAAAAACATCTTCTTTACGATTGTGTTCAAATGGAACACTATTTAGCTTTTAATCGATTTTCAAAACAAACGATTATTAACATTATTTTCCCAAAATCCTATTCGATAACGAATAATAACCAAAGCTTCAAAGACAAGTTTCGGAGAAAACGATATCAGTACGACTGCTAGCGAAAAGCATACCAAACAAAATTTGAAAATGAGTAATTTGAAAGGATGTGTGAAAAGTTTATAGGAAGTTAAACAAAAATTATCATGATGGCTCAAGAAGCAAGTTTGCTAACATAAAATATAGATAGATACTAAATACCAAACTTGCGGGGGAAAATTTAAACATTATATTAATAAATTTTGGGTAGATGTGTATCAATTTATCCAAAAGTTGTTAGACGAGATCAATATACTGTATATTTTAGGATTTTCATAATACAACACCGAAAAAAAAACGACTTGAGTCGAACATCAAAATATCATACCAAATATTATGGATTCAAAAAACAATTGCGTTATGCCCAGAAATAATAATAATGAATAGGATAGTTATTGTCGCTTCTTTATTGCAGAAAACATATCGGTCCAAACTCTTGCGGAAAGTGTATTTTTCTCTTAATAAAAGTATCACTTTTCGCACTTGTTAAGAACTACACTATAATTAATAATCAAAACGGCACATAAACCAACATACTTGCTTCGAATGGTATATTATGCCACGTCATAGTTGATTATCGAGAGTGTCCATTAAAATCCACGATTAATTTTCTAGCGACGGCACTAAACTTGGAAATAACACCGCGCAGTTAACTTTTATATGTACATGCAGTTCCGTCTTTACGATCCTATATGCGAGATCGCACCGAATCACTCAACCCTTACATGATAACGTGCGTGTAAATTTAAACAATCACGCATTTTGTCAGTGAGAAAATTTGTCATCAAACAGTTTTATTTATAAACACTCTGGAATCGCGCAACACTTTCAGCTTCCCGCACGATGCCAATATGCGAGATATATAAACAGTGGGATATTTAATTTTTGGACCACGATTTTATCGATAAGATAGCTACGTCGCGATAAAAAATTCGTCGTGTTTAACCAAAATTTAAAAGTAAATTGAGTACGATTAGCTACTAACTACTTCAAAATGTCCTTCACGAGAGATAACCTTTCCAAATGTGATGTTATGGGTTCTACTTAGACTAATAAAATTGTTTCTGCCATTTGGTAAACCTAAACCCAATAAGTTTCCGGATATAGAAAAAGGGATTTACCAATAGCGGATAATGTGTAAGAAATGAACTATATACAGGGAGTCTCAGCAAGAAAATTCTCGATATCTTCGACTACAACATTTTTAATATGCACTTACACCAGACATGGGTTTCTTCTGACTTATTTTAAACACCATATACATATACAATTTCGTTTTTTAGTATTTATGAAAATTCAAGACATATATACCTAATCTTATAGATCTTTGCCATCTTTTAGGTAGGTAGGTCAAAAATAACCGCTTACAGAATAAATCTGCAAATTTTTTCCATATGCAATTATTTCAATTATTCTATGTAGAAAAACGCTCGTTTAACATAATTATACACACATAAACACTCCTATTATTAAGGAAAAACATTAAAGATATGTCTTTTAAGTCGATATAATACAAACATTTCAACATTCAGACTTTTGAACAGATCTAAGACTCCTCGACTTTGTGATTAATTAGCAAAAAACCGATATCGCGAAATGAGATTAATCATATTTTTCCATTCTCTTAAAATTATTCCGACACGTTATCTGCAAAAAAATAAATATTAATTAAATTAAAAATTCTGCTTCCCAAGCCGCAAAGAGTGATTGCAAAGTCGATCGGCAAATCCCCGTTAATTCAAAACTATCTCGTACGTCTGGAAGATTTTCTACTCGGATTTACAGTAACGCATAATAGTACCTAGGGGTGCGTGGGGCTGGACGGGCCACTTAAGCTTTTTATTATTTTTTGTGGCTTTCAACCACCAAGTCGATTTGACTGACTTTAACTAAATTTAGCCAAATTCTGGCGAAACTTCTTTATTAAAAAGTATTTAATAAAAAAAAAACATTACTAATTAGTAATTATTTTTCTATCGATTAAAAATTTGTTATTAGGATTTATAAGATTTTCGAAAGCTCTGGCTTTAGGCTAAAGCCATGGAATTATCCAAAAAATAAATAACATTTTCAATAAATTAATTATACTTCGGTTATAATAATATGAATTTTTTTTTCAGAATTTTTAAGCCCACTATTTTACCCCTTGTATTAAGCAAAGAGTTAAAAAAGCACAAATAACCAGAATTTATAATTATTAGAAGAAAAAACGAAAAAAAAAATTTAGTGAATTCATGAGGTGGGCCTCCTTGCTCCACCCTTGCCTATATTATGAAACAAGTTTTATCAACGAGACTTTAGCGAGGAGTTTGTTTAGGTATGAGCCGAGAGTGTTTAATAAACGCGTGGCTGAAGATTATAAAGCTATTGCATACCCTGCCCTAATGAGCGTGCTTTGTAGATTTAAAATCTACGAAAAATCGTATTCCCACGCAGTAATCTTAGTTTAAAATGTGGCACTTTAGACTGCCACGAATGCGGAGATTAAATCAAATTTTTCAAAGGCATGTTTTGCTCGCAGGCGCCGAATCAAAAATTGAATTGACTTTTCTCAAAATTGGCATGCTGATAATTCGTGATATCGCGTATATTCGTTTCGGTTATTCTGATTCAACGTAAACAAAATTTTTCCGCTATTATAGTGCTGATAATAGGATATGTTATACAGTTATTAGCACGAATCCTAAGGTAAACATCGTTTTAACGTTTTATGGAGACATATTTTTTTTATGTATTTAATAAAAACAATTATTTCTTGGAAGTCTGTACCACGTTAATTTTCTGGCTATGGGAACAAGTCTGATGAATAAATTACCAAAAAGTTACCATTTAAACCAAAATCAAAATTTTCTCGATTTTCTCTAGTTTCACTCATAATAATTATCATAATCATAATAAGAATAGATTTACATAGTTATTGGGTGAGAACCACCTCTCAAGAAGTCTTATTGCGGCGCACTTAATACAAAGACAGGACGATAGAAAAATTGAGTCACCTTGACATAAGATAAAAACAAATAAATATTTAATAAGGATTTTATTTGCTCATTTTAGTCTGTGAAAATTATAACCATAAGGAAAACCTTTCGTACATATATTTTCTCTGTTAGTATGCTGTAGTTACGTAGCTTCCGCAACATAACGCCAATGCGTTCAAACATCTAGTCTTGCCATAGTGGCGTACCGTGTATATTATAACCATACAGAACTGCTTTTTTGCATATTAAATTGGAACAATGTTAAATGTACGCTTTCGTAGTCTACTTCTCTAGAAATGTACAAAATTTTTAATGGTATATTAAGCCAAAAGTTTGATAAACGTAAATCTAATCTACCTAAATCTAAAATTATGGAGAAAAAAAAATTCTAGGCCTCAATTTCAAGACATTTAATTTGCCAGAACGCCAATCCGAAATATTTAGCAATAAGTATTTTTTGTTTACCGTAACTCACCATGGACAAATTACATCCAAAATCGTCATAAATGGGACATTGACCGAAAATTTCTTAAATCCAAAGGAATGAAAAATTCGACTTACCAGATACCAGATTATTTCTACTTATTGTTCATTGAATATCAAGCTCGTTAAATCCTAGAAGTCGTAATTCCATTAAAAGTCATAATTATATTCTAAACTTCTGTGATAAAAATTATGCGGTTTAAATGTACGACGCAGAAATCCAGTGTAGAATGAAACATATGAAGGTATCAAATGTATATGGACTGCAATAAATGCTGTTGTGTATTAGTCTGAAACTTTTACTGGCAATAAAATTAAGTAAATATTGCTACGAAAACAGATTCAGTATGTGCGTGAAATACTGTTTACACAAATAAAGAAATATTCAAAAATTTTCCGAAGTTTGCAATTATCTATTTTTGTGGCGCTTAACGCTTTTACATATCGATACAGAATTTGATGTTAAACAGTGTAGAAATTCCTTGAACATTCACAATATTAAATTCATCAGAATGAAAGAAAAAATTTTATGTCGCAGGTGTTCGCGTTCCTTATACTCGTATACGCTATTTTATAGAGAAAACTTTTAAATCATCCTGTTTCTGTTTGTTAGCTATTTTTCTGAGATTTATCTTCAAAAGACTTTTTGTGCAGAAAAAAACAAGTCGGCTTGGTGTGGCGTTTGTTTTTTTCTGAAACCTTCGACTTTTTGTAAATTATGGGTAAAAAAAATTAACTCGTGTATAGAGAACATTTAAAGTTGAAATAACTATTTGTTTATTAAAAACGTAATGTGACACATATCCAACAAACATAATTATCATGGATGTTTCAAAACAAATGCGAAAAATGGCGGATTTTTTTTAATAGAACAGCAAAATATTACGTAAGAAATACAATTATAAAAACACACCTTCTATATTTTTATTTTGTTTTTAGATTTTCTTTTCTTCTTTTCTTATATTTTTCCTTTTTGTTAAATTTAGAAACTTTGAATTTTTTTTAATTAAAATTTAATAGATAAAAAAATCTAATGGGCTGCTGTCACTTAAGACGTTTCCTATTATTGCTTTGTTTGACATTGCTCAGTTGGTCAATCAAAAATTGATTATATAATCATTTAATTATTTAATAAAAAGAGTTTTCAATAAAGGTGAATTACACTAATGCAGAAATAGAAGTTTTATGAAAAAATTCCAGTAGACCAAAAGTTTTTAATAAACCCGTCTATTATTATTTTTTTCAGGTCATTGCGTAAGTTTTTCTTTAAAATTAGTCAACAAGGTAGCGTAGGTAGTCTAATTTCATCCCCTTCACTCATTTAATATATATATATATATATATATATATATATATATATATATATATATATATATATATATATATATATATATATATATATATATATATATATATATATATATATATATATATATATATATACATAGATATATATATATATATATATATATATATATATATATATATATATATATATATATATATATATATATATATGCAGTGTGTTTTTATAGTAGTAATGCTTCCGTAATATGTTATTGTTCTATCTATCTTTGTTTTTAAGACAAAAATTAAAACATTTTTTTCCGCCACATCTGTAGCACGATATCGCTCTAATGGGTGACTTTTCACCCAACGTTTATATAAACCATCCTTTATTTTAAACAAGGAATCACCACTTTAAGTTTTTAGCATTTGCTTTGAAACACCCTGTAAATAGTTATATAATATATATAATATTCTTTTTTGGTGAAAATGGTAAGATGATTGGTATTTTGTTTTTTTGTTTATCACTCCCTCCAACATAAAATACCCACTAAACGAATAACTTAGCTAGGATGGGCTTCCCGCGAACCACCTTGTATAACAACGCAAAGCTGCTTAGGAATGTCGATTACAACCGATAAATGAATTGTAAGACGCCATCTTTAACACCTCAAGCACGAGAGGTTACTCTTACCTCATATAGCAGCCACTATTATCGTGATTATATTAAATTTCAGAAAAAAGTAGGTAAATAGAACTTTGACAATGCACCCAATTTTCGAGTAACGAGTTATATTGAATATTGCCGGTTTGTACATTTTAGTGACAGGTCTATATCTCTGCAGGGCACAAATAGTTGCTTAACTTATCAATTTTAAAATTTTACGACAACTAACGATTCGATAATATATTTGCTTATGATTACATATAATTCGGATTATAGATAAAAATGCATAACAGGAATGTTTGTTTAAATTTTTCACTTCAAAAGCG